GGGGGGGGGTGTTGTTTCTTAATAAAAGCATTTCTCAATTTCAGGAAAAGTGAATTCATTTTCTTTTTCAATGAAAAAAAAGCAAACGACACGCGCGTTAAATCTCTGCCATTATCATGCTAATCTGTTTATCAAATAGATTAAAACAGAGACTTGGCAACATCACTTTTTGGCGGGATTGTCACCATGAACCAAATACTGAATATAATATTGGATTCCTTTTCCCAAAAAGACCGAAAATGTCAAGTTTTGAGAAGATCGGCGAAAAAGTATCGTCTAATGTGCGAATGTCCCGTTTTGACACCTTTTCGTCCCACTGTGCCCTGCCCCCCCGGCCCCCATGGCCTCAGAATTTTGGGCTCACTTGCGAAATTGAACCTTCTATAGGTAAAGATGATATCCTGAAAGTTTCATGCTTTCTTCCAGAGATGCACGATTGTTATGCTTATCCGCTCTACTATGAGGGGAGAATTCAAAGTTCCTGTGGCTAATGTACACTAAAAACGTTAATATTTCAGTCAAAAGTTGACTTGACTGTTCTTCGTTGCCCAAGTTATGTTCTACATAACATTTTGGTCAAGAAACATGAAACAAATTTGAAGCTTTGTGATGATGCCCAAGATGGTAAAAGGAATTCATTTCTAAAATTTGTACAAAAGGTCCCATTTTCTGTTATGTCTTTCATTCGTATTGATTATGAGGGTATTTTAGTTACATTTACATAGTCAATTGGGTACACCTTAAACGAAATGAAATTGTGCCTTACTTGCAGAAAGTATGGAGACATTCTTTCAGCGTAACACCTTCTCCAGGCCCATATTGACCATAACAGATTTGGCACTCAAAATCTTTTGTGTGAAACACTAAAGGGTCGTTGTGGTAGGACTCCCAAGTGGCGAAATTCCTTACTTGTTCCTGAAATAATAGAATTTGAATTTTTTAGCTCTACAGAAGCACAACATTCTGATAGTAATCGAATGAGGAGTAAAATAATTTGCAGCAAAATGTTAAAACGGCAACTAAGTGAATGTATGTTTGAGAGAACAAAAGAATAACACGTACCTTCATTTGCGACACTGCAGACTTCTAATCACGTTGTGTTATTTTTTAAGTCAAATCCATTCTTCTTCCCAAAGTTTCCGAGAGTTGTGCCCTGTAACACCTACTTTGAGCGATTTTCACAATTTTTGGGTCATCTGATCCATTCTAACATTCAGATTCTCGTAAAAATACCAAACGTTCTGATTGTCTTGATGCACCAATAAAGCTAAATTTACCCTCCTGCTTTAGACACGCCTAACCTTCTGTTCGGTCCATTGGCCTTTAACTAAGCTTATGTGTGTGTGTGTGCACCTCACACATTATGAGTATCTTCAGTTTTTTCATGAATTTTTGATAAGATTTTATCAGTTTGAGGGAAATGACGCTTTTTTTGGTGTGTTTTTTAAAAGTCAGTTACAGTCCAAGAGTCAAGTCCAGAGTTCTGTTTGATGACAGAGTTCTAAACCTGCAGGTGCCATTAAACTAAATGCTCCATAAAAAATCGGCAATGGCCCCCAAAAAATGAAGAATCCTGCCAAACGTCACCCCTAAAAAATTGCTGCAATCCTAGTTTTCCTGTTTTTTCTCGTTTTCTCAAAATAAATAGATGAGTGCATATTTATCTCCTTTTATTTAAAGGACATAAAATGAGATGCTTCTAGTTCTTCTATTTTTAACAGGAAGTCACACAAATTTTTGTTTGAGTTGAACAAACCTTGGACTTTTAAAATAACCAAAAGCTCTTTCTTTTCATCGAAATATCATTACAACTGCAAAAAACAAAAAAACACCATTTAACACTAAAACTAACAACTAAAATTACAACTGCAAGTCCTGTAACTGCACATCTAGTGTATATCTTTTCACTGCATGCCTTGTGATGTATAGGAAAAAGTTTAATTTGATTCCATGAGTTCCTTCAATGGCCACAGAAAACTGAGCTAAATGGGCAAGATTGCTCCTAAACCTCAAAAAAGAATTTGAAACTAATAAGTTGAAAAGACTGCCTTCGTATGATTGCACTCTAAATATTCTTCAAATACTTCCTCTAGAGTGTCTGGCATTTACATCAAGTGTGCAGTAATGAAAATTGGCATGCACAGGAATGTAATCATGGACAGATGGATAGAGGAACATAAGAAAGTAGTAGAAGTAATAGAATACAAAGTATAATAAAAGGAGTAGCATACAAGCAGTGTACTGAGTGAGTAATAATTTGATTTAAAAAAAGTACAAGAATGAACAAGATAGATAAAAAATTATGATGACAATTATTACTTAATAAATTCGAAAACATCATACCGAATGGTTGACTTTCAGCACTAGAAAAAAATATTTTCCAATATATAAAAGTTAGTTCATCACCAGCACTCTATCATTGTTCTAACATTATTTTGCCTATAAATAATTATTGTATTATTATAAAGTTTACGAGACTGAGCAACTTGAAAAAAATTATGAAGTTTTGTTGGAACTGTTTAATGGGGAAAAAAGTTTTTGGAGCTTTGAAAAGCTAAATGTGCTGTTGGAGGTTTAATTTTAAGTATAGTGGCTTATGGAAGTCAATAATGGGAATAACTACAAATAACTACTATCAGAATCATCACTATCGGGATCAAGACTTACTTCTAAGGTTAAATCAGCTAGTTTCCGACATGTTAGTCCATTAGCGTGAATTTTCTGAAAGAGAGTGGATATTTCAAATTAAAAAAATTCCTTTGAATACAAAATAGAAAAGTCATAAAATGAGTCTTATTCTCAACTTTAATTAAGAAATTAAGAATGGGACTTCCCAGTCCTTAATTTTTTAACCTGAGTTTCCATGATTCCTTCCTATTCCCTCCTTGACTTTTCAAGTTTTCATGCTTCCCCTTGACTCCAAAATTTCCTTATTCCCGGGCCTTTCATCAAAACCTAGAATTAGATTTCTTTTCTTCTAAAAACACTGACTTCTGCAAAACCAGCTATTCAATGGTCAAATTTTCCACGCCTAGAGGTTTAAATTAGGGAAAATGGCACTCCGAAATTGTTTACGTTCCCTCAAATTAAATCAAGTTGTTGACGTTCCTGAGCTGACTTGCTACTCATGAAATTTCCTGACTTTTCCTATGAATTCACTGACCTTTTCAGGTCCCTGAGAATTCCCCGACTTATTAGGTTTTTCAAATTGCCAGAAACTATGTTAAATCATCTTTACAGAAAATAGAGCTGGCATGCTCCTTGATCAGTGAAAGCTACTTGATTGTAGAGCCAATTTTTTGGGAAACCTTTAGGATTAAAAAAACATTTTCTTTAACAACTGAAATGCAAGAGAGGAAAAATTAGCAAATGACTATGAGAGTAAGGAGCAGATAAGGCTTTTTTTACATACATTTATTATTATATTTTTAAAGTTTTTTTTAAACAAATTATTTGATGAATGATAGTCATTTCTGCTGATTATATTGTGGGTATGTGCTTATCAATCAAGATGAAAATCATGGACAGAGGTGAAATTAGATGCCATGTGCAATATAATATTCTGATTACACAACGGAAAGTAAGCACATAGAGACCAATATGCCACATGATACAGGTAGTGAAAAATAAAATTTTGGTCCCACAAGCTTTGGCTGAAGTGGTATGGGTTGGATATAGTGGTAGGGGCTTCCCAAAAGATCCGAGTGAATTTTAAAACTCACTTTTGAATTTTACAACCAAAAATAAATCTAAAAAATTAGAGTCAACTTTCTCTTTTTTATTTGGAGGCAGATATCAATACATATGAGCCCCGAAAGATGGAGAGGGCTATAAAAACGGTAAATCAGTTTGAATATTTGAACAATTACATACCTTGCAGTCTAGACAATTGACATTTTTGCACAGCGGACATTTAAAGTCGAATACATTTTTCCCAACATCAACAATGTTTCCACACCCTTTTGTAACACATTGGATTGGGTTTTCCATACTGGCTTTGATGTTTTTGACGGCATGGTGTAATCTTACTTCATATTCCTCCTTAGTCATGAGCTGAAAAGAGGGAATAAGAAGTTTTTCCTTGATTTGATTTATTAATGGTCACAGTGCTTAGTTTCTGAGTACATAACTTGGGAATAAGAGAGAATATTTCCCGCAAAATCAGACAGCAGACAGCGAGTAGTCAAGGATAAAATTCCCAGATTTGATACTTCAGATCAAAATAAGAATCTTTTGGTGATGAAACAATACACATGAAGAGCGTTTCCCCGAAAAGAGTGTATTTTAAAAAGCCACGGGATCTTAGAAAGTGGTTGATCGAGTTTCATGTACATCCTGAGAGATAAGGCTGTTGTGCCTAGCATTAAAATTCAATTAAAACATTCTTTGATTTTTTATAAATTCATTTCCGATGGAAAAATTGAACATGCCATTGAAAAGTGACACACTGAGGTGGTTATATGGCTCTTTGTTTACACAGTTCAGTTTAAATAAAAAAAAAATGTATTCACTTTGGTATTCTGTACCTAAAAAAAACTGTCTTGCATTTATGAACCCTTTTGACACTATGATTCGTTGATAGCTTGCCTTGCATTATACTTTAGGCAAAGTCTATATGCTAACAGGTATAAATTATGCCATGGAATATCAGTTAGTCTTCAGTCTCCGACAAGAGCTTTGGTTAAAAAGGTACATCTTTTACGATAATTTTTGTTAAAATACTTTGAATCATCCTCTCATTTAAAAGCAGAGCGACCGATTAACATTTCAGAAGGGGGGGGGGGAAGAAAGAAAGAAAAATGATGGCTACAAAGATTAAGAAATAACCAAGTAGAATGAATTACTTACTGCCTCTATCTCACTCTCCAAGATTGAAAATTCACAGTCCTCTTGAAGACAATTAATAGAACCTAGATCTGTATTTTCAAGTATATGTTGCTTGATGCAGCCTCTGGAAACAGATAAAAAAGGAGCAAAAAATAAGAAAAGGAGTTAAAAGTGCAAAGGGAGTTTGAAATTTAAGAGGCCATATGAATGGATTGAAACACTTGGTTCTTCCTTCGAAGACTGGTAGTGACCTGCAAAAAAAACGGACTCCCAGATAATATGGGGATTTTGCACCGATGAAATTTCATACTTTTTAAATTTGTATTCCTCCTGGGCAAAGTAAGCTTTGAAAATCGAACTAACTTTATGCTGAGTTTAATGAGGCAGGGTTGAATAATTAATTTTGGAGCATTTTTAAACTCTTTTTCTTGCTGAGATGTGGCACAGCCACTATGTCTAATCAGCAGACAAGTTTTCATTCAGAGGTTGACATAGTTCTGCGCCCCACACTGTTATAATTCATAGGAATTTTGGTTCTTCAACTGTCATTTCCTTGCTTTAAGTCTGTTGCGTACTGTTTCATATTCCTATCAGTAGCCATGAAAAGCAAGCTCTTCTCAATCAGCAACCTGATGTTGCAACGTTTCCACAAGGAAGTATGAGTTGAACTGCTAAAAAAGTCACTATTTAGCCCTGCTTTCCTCAAAATTGGCACAACTTCGGTTCAATTTTGAGAGCCCATTGTACTTAGAAGATCATTAAAAATATGATACCAAAAATTAATAAAAAGCTCATGGTGAACTCTTTGGTAATTTGTGGAATTTTCTTTCAAGTTGGGCTCATTTATAAAAACCTCAACAAACATCTATTTTTGACCAGAGAAAGATTCTACATGAAGATTCTGATGAAAGGCATCACAGCTGCCCATTCGATGATACCTGCCCGCTGAAATAAGTCTTCAGTTGCCTTGTTAATTTGTCGAACATACGAAAAGGTAACAATAAATGAGAATAAAAATTTGTGCAAAGGGTTAACTGCTTGAAATTTATTTTTTTCCCTCTTTGATGGTGACAGTTTGTTTACAACAAAATTTAGAGCAGTGAGGCTGTTATACTGCCATTTTGTATTAACAGTGCTAATGTATCCACGATAAGCAACTCTTGTCTCAGGACTGTTGTGTTACAACTCGCTATCATTTGACTTTTCAGACAGGATGGTGTTTTCATTTGATTAGAGGAAAATTTGTATGGTTTAAAATACTAACTGGCAGTATGTATGATTGCAATTCTTAAGAATCACTCCGTCTCCTTGGTTGCAATCTATGAAGTTTTGTAGGCATTTATCACATCTGAAGGCAGCACTAGCATAAATGATTTTTTCCTCAGCAAGGCTGAGGAGCTGATCATATTCAGACATTGGCTGTAACAAGAAAAAGGAATTTTAAAACATTACGGTTTGTAAAGATTCTGGATAAAATTTTTTCCACCCTCCTCATTTCTCAACACTGTGACTTCTGCTCCTTTTTCTGGCAAAATCCTTAAAGGTATGAAAGTTAAAGAATTGTAAGTATTTCTGAGGAACCACTTTGGAAACTGTTAATCTTTTCTTAATGTTTTCTTTTTCTTTTAGGATAAGAAATAGGAAAATAGATAGGGAGTCCCTCATGTTTTACTACCATTCTAACGTGGATTCCATAATTAGCTATGGCATACAATTATGGGGCTATACAACAGGTGCCAGAGATATTCTTTTAACTCAAAAAAAAATCTTAAGAATTATTGCAAACAAAAAAAAATTTGACTCTTGTAGAAAACTATTCCCAGAGTTCAATGTGATGACTGTCTTCTCTAGGTATATATATTCAACAATAAAGGAATCAATTAAATTAGGCTACATCATCAAAGAAAAATTAATTACTAATAATCAAATACAAACCAGAAATATCCTAGCAAAAATTGAAAAAAAACGGGGGGAAAAAGTAGACTGGGATAGCTTAGAAAGCAGAGGTATCAGATATTTTAACAAGCTTCCCAAGCCATTAAAAGAACTTTTCATTAAATCAGAAAATTCAAATCTATTCCTAAATAACATAAAAAATTACTTCATAGAAAACCCTTTTTACGAGTTAAAAGAATATCTCGACGCAAATCTCCCCAATCCCTAAATTGCCTGAATGTAGTCCCCTAAGTCTTAAGTCTTAGTTCTTCATTTACTGTTTTCTTTTTTTTATTTGTTTGTTAAAATTTTGTTACATTTATTTGATGTTAAATTTTGTTCCATTAAATTATTTGACGAGTGTTAAGCTCATAAATTTGTATGAATTTCATGAGGCTGTTGCATTAATAAATATATTATTATTATTATTATTATTATTATCTTTTAAAACAATGTTGAATCCTTGTAAATGATTTGACATTTTGAATGATACTATACTGTTTGACTATAAATTTTAATTGCAATGCTTCAAAATTTCAATACATACTTCATCTTAAGGAGGAGAACAAAATTATTATCGAAGCTTGTTTGCTCTGATTTCATTTTTTGTCCCCAAGTCATCCTGTTGGAATCTAAGCTACAATGTTGACCTATTTTCCTTCCAGAAATGAACAATGGATAGAGAATTCAAAACGTTGCAACTGAAATCTGTGATTTTGGAATACAGCCACCTGACATCAATTAACCCATTCGCATGTATTGGTGAACATACTTGTTATGGCGCGCCTGGGACATACATGCATTGACGAGACAACTTGCGTCTGTCACGCCATCTTATTACGTTGCTAAGCAAAAGTTTTCTCTGGCTCATTGATACATAGCTCTATTAACATAATTCTAAATATCATTCTGGAGTATTCTATTGCTAATCTGAATGAATCCTAGTGATTTTTTTTTTCACATGGAGCAACAAAGTATTTTTAATGAAGAACATTGTTGTCTTTCTGGGCACGACAGGAAAATTCATCATCGTATGCAACTGGGTTAATGAGCCTCTTAAATTCGAGCAAAGGAAAAAGCGTTCACTTCAGACCAAGACCAACTTGCTGGCTGACGCAATTTTTAGAATGAGAATATTTGAAGGTAGAAATTGTAAATGTTTAAAATTTGATTAATTGCATTCATAAATGGAAACCTTTGAGTAAACTGAGTACATGAATATCCCTGGTTTCTAAATTATTTGAGGAGTTATAATAGAATGATCTAATCTGCTAAAGTACATGTGTTTACATAAGAAATAACACCCTGTGACTTCATAAAGTAAAGGCAGTAACTCCATTAGACCTTTATTCTGTTTTCCTCATACCCAGACCAGAAAAAATGTCTCACTCATTTCTCAACTTGTTGCTTCTCTGATGTAAGAGTGTACTTTGATCTCTTGGTGAACCCTATTCTCCGTATAACTCTGCACTTTCCGGGGCTCATATGGAAATAGAGATGCGTCCTTACTTTAGAGAAGTGATGAACTCAGCTTATGGAGCACCTTTATATGGAGCCGTAGAAATGTCTGGTGACAACGTTCCATTGGTGATTTTAATACATTTTTTGAACCTAGTTATCATCAATGGAGATGTTGCATGTGTGAGGAATTTGCGATTAGACTGTTGATTCTTATGTAAAAGTTCGCGAGAAACACGATGGTAACACTGGTTTTCTCTGAAATTGACTCCCAAGCTCAAAAAAGCTCTCAAGTTGAGACCAAAATGGAGGGGATATCCTACGCTATCATGAGAGTCCACCTCTACATCAAGACAAACTCTCCATGCAAAGATAGGGAGCAGATACATTGACAGGGCTGCCACTTTATTTCGGGACTTTAAAACTGAAAACACGGCATCACTGCTAATGTATTTGCTCCCTATCTTTGCATGGAGAGTTTGTCTTGATGTAGTCGTGGACTCTTAGGATAGCGTGGGGTATCCCCTCTATTTTGGCCTCAACTTGAGAGCGTTTTTTGAGCTTGGGAGTTGATTTCAGAGAAAACCAGTGGCACCATCGAGTTTCTTGCAAACTTTTACATGAGAATCAATGGTCAAATCGCAAATTTCTCGCACATGCAACATCTCCATTAGTAATATGCTACATGTTTAATATATTCTGCATTGATTTGGCGGAGCACTATTAGTTCCAGAAAAAAAAAGCTAGAGAGATCAAGCAATTTACCGTTTGTTCCGAGATGAAAAACTCATTCGTGCTGGTCTGATCACCTACTCCTGAAGGCCCAGGATTCTCTTGGAGATTGAACAACACAGGAGAATCTATCGCGGAAGCGCATTTCCTCACAAGATCACTGAAAAAAAAAAAGAAATAGGGGGAAAAATAAACGAGGAAAAGTTAACATAAAAGTTTATATTCTGTACCTGGAAAATTCTCTTTAAAATAATGGTGTATCCGTACCTACCTACATGGTTTGAAAATTGAGAGCAATTGATGGATACAGCAAAAAAAGTAATAATGAAAAAACTATGCAGTTAAGAATCAACAATTACTTAAATCTGGGACTAAACACTTTTCAGCCTTATACCTAGACATGCACATGAAATCATCGGCACTTTTTTTCTCCAATTTTAAATATTAACTAAAAATCCACCCAGAATAAGAAAAGCTTACATCTTCAACGTATGTTACAAAGATGAATTTGTCACTTTCCAAAAAACGCAGCAACTTTCTGATGGGTGGTTTAGAAGTGTCCGATAGTTGGAGAATAACTTGGAGCTTACGACCCTGAAAGTTGGAACTCCCAACCAAATTTTGGAATGATACAATCAAAATAAAAAATTACACTGAATTTGAACCAATCAACTGTTACTCATTTCCTGTAACTACTCAACGACCAGAAAAATCATTTTATCAGATATTTTTGACTGATAAAATCATTTTTGTTGGAAATAAGTTTTCTGTTACATGTTAATTTTACACAGGCTCAAGATTTGACGCAAGCTTGGCAACTGCTTAATTATTACTGCATTGACACTAACCGCATGGAGTTGACTATAGTAGTTGCCTTTTCATCTTCATTGGCTGTAGGATCATCTAGGAGTATCTCTTCTTCATCCGCAATTTTCTTGGGTGACTTGGACTTTTTTGGTGCTGGCGAGAGTGAAAAAGTTTTATTCAAGTTAGGGTTATTTTCGGTAGCAAAATATTTTCCCTTTAAACCTTCTTTTTCCTGGAGCAGTTGCATCAAAATTACATTTCTTTGGTGCAATTCTTTGTTCTGTTCTTTTAATTTTTCGACTTCACTAGAAAAGTTGTTAACTTTTTGCATTATTGTGTTCAATTTACTGTTAATATTGTTTGAATGCTTATTGTATAATTTTTCTAAAGTATCCCGCACATCACAAGAAGTGTGATGATTTGCCTTGGGATGTGGTGGGTATTTAGAATGAGGATTCATTGAAACTTGACTCTTGGGGAAGGGTTTGTTCTGACGGCTGAAATTTTGATTCAAATCGTCCATACTGCCGCTACTATCATGGGGATTTCTCTTGTGCTGGCGAGAGGTTTTTTTATTCACTTTGCTGTCCATAGTTTCCACTTTTCCAAGCCAGTTTTTTAAAGTTTTCTCGTATGCAGAGTCTATCATCCTGAAATAAAGAAAAAGTTTTGTCTGAAAATCGGTTGAGAGGAAACACATTACGGAGAGACCTCTCACTACTAGGGAGATGTTTGTTAATGGATAACTGACAGAAAGGGGGGGAATTTGGGGGAAATATCTTATTAAGCAGCAAGCTAACATAGTCGCTATTTTGGCTAAAAAGTTACGAGATATTTTTCATCTTTTAAACGCATGCAATTCAGTGGACAAACTGAAGCTTTTCATTCTCTATCTCACATCTGTTTTTCTCTTCAAACTTGAAGTCAATTAAGAAATTGGATACAAACAAAATTACACATGAACTGAAGAGGTGTAGAGGAATGAAATTGCCTGAGCATTCTCAGAGCTTGCATAAAGCCAAGACTAAAAAAAATTGAAGGACTATGATAAATTTAATCTAGGGCTTTTGAGTGAAAATATGTAGACAATCAAGGGCATCTCAATACTTTTAGGAAAAAAATGCTGGTAGATGCTTTAAACACCCTTAAGATATCGTCACCTTTCAGCCAAAGTATCACAAGCGCCATGGGACATTTAAAAATTTCCGCTGCCATTTTATTTCTTTACAGAGAAAATGTTGGTTGAACCTGTTTGAAAATTTCACTGAATTTTATTGGCAGTACAAAGAAAATTCAGTGACATTTTTGGACAGCTTCGTCGAACGATTTCTCTGTAAAAAAATAAAATCGCAGTGGCAGTTTTTAAACCTAGCATGGTGCTTGTGATACTTTAGCCGGAAAGTGACGATATCACTTTGTGATGCCATATATATTTCACTGGTGGATTTGCTGTGAACTGTGGTTCCCTTATACCTTTAAGTCTGACTTTCATGGATATTGTAGGTCACTCTAAAAAAAAAACACATTGAAAAATGCATTTAAGTACATTTGTGTCCTTCGTGTTTTACAATACAATAGCCCCTGAATATATTGATGGCTGAAGAAGAAAGATGTTTATCTCCATTGCAACATTCAAAATTTTCCAATTATATTGTAATTTCTATGCAAGTAACAGACTATAATAATTCCTAGAATTCTTCTGTAAATTCTTATGAATGAGTGAAAAATTTCCAGCAGATAACTGATGGTTTGGTTCCTTGTAGAAAATTAAGACATGAGGGGAGATTTGCCATGTCACGATCAGAGAGACACATTTTGCAACTTCAGACATTAATATCCTTCCTGAAACATCCAAAGAGAAGCGACAGGCTACTGCAATACACTTTTCAAAGTCCACGACATTTTGAAAATGCATTTTTTAAGGCTTATTTTTAAGATGGATCTCATCTTATGTGCAAGATCTGTAATCTTCAAAATCTTGTACCAAAAACAATACTTCCTGGAGCAGCTGAGGTGGAAATACTTAGTTATACAAGATAAAAATTGAAGGCCAGATGACAAAAAAAAATTATTTTCAGCACACTATGTCTTCTTCTTGATTCTTGAATGTCATGATACCCCCGTTTTCATAAGAAAATTTCTTTAGCTTGTAGCTGAGAAACCCTATAGAAGTTTTTGGCAGGCGTTTTTAATGGCCGTGCACAGCTGATTTGCCGACTTAATGTATTTAAGGTTTTGACTCCACGATAATTTTTAATCATATAATGATTATTTCCATAGAGAAATATAAGGAGGTGTTTGCATTACGGGCATCTTGGACTTTTTCGATGATTTAGGTTGGTACGGCGACATTTATCATCGATTTTCTTGGAAATGGTGTAGATAATGGAAAAAAGTCATTCTATAAAAAGTGTTTGAAATTATATCATGAGTTAATTTAAGCAAAAAAAATTGGACGTTATGGTCCCTTTTTCATACTTCGAATCCTAGATTTTGCTGACCAGGTTGTACCAACCTACGTCACAGGGTAAACAGTCCTCAAGATGCAAACACCTCCTTTTTCTTCTCTATGGATTATTTCCATCTTGACCAAATAAAAATTCTATGGTTTTCAAAATTCAAACGTGTTTCCAAGAAAAATCAGAGTACAAATTTTGATTTCAGCAACATCAATTTAATGTAGAACTCGTGTAAGTTGGCAGTTCGTTACTTTTGACTGTCATGCCTATATGACAGCTCTGGGCATTAAGCTGTCAGCGGAAGGTATCTGCTGTCGGTGCCTGTAAACGATGGCAGCACAGCAGCTGCTAAGTCTGATTACCTGCAGCTACAGTCCCGAGAGCTCCCTCATTCTTAGTAAACCCAGTTCTGCGGGCTGATTATTGAAATTTTGTGTCAACTGCACAAAAGAAAATAAAGGTGATCTGGAGTAATGTGGCTGATTATTGAAAACTGTCAGGCTAGGAGCACCTTGGAACCAGTTGATTATCCAACTCCATAGAGGTAGGGATCTAGAAGCAAGGTGGGTACTCGCACAATACAGCCGTGGACTAATCGCACGTAGTGCGAATTCCAATCACCATGTATTCTCACGGGGAAATCCTGTTCTTCTACGCGCAAGGTCACTATGCGAGAACAGAAAAGAAAAGTTTATATGGATGAAATGTATTAGCAGCTTGATAAAGTATGTGTTCTAAAACTTTCATCTGAATATTAATTTTCCTTGATGAAATAATTGAGCTTGAAGTGAAGATCTTAAAAAGTGGGAAAACTTAATGTTCTTATGACTGCATGAGATTCATATTCTCCTATCATGCTCTGCGCGATGGGGCTAGTCCATTTCACGCTCCGTTGCGACTAGTCCACCATTCGAGACTCTCATTTGCTGGCTGGGAGATTCTATTGTTTCCTACCATAAGAAGGGGGATGCGAGTACGCACTGTGTTTCTAGATCCCTACATAGTGGCACAAACAACAGAGCGTGTCACCAGGAATCAACAAAACTGATAGGTCACATTACTCCATAGGACCCTAGTCTTGTTCAGTCAATAAACAGAAAATTCCAATGACTAGTTTGTTCCGTCAATCTTACAGGAGCAATAGAATTAGTAACATAACATATGTTCAAAGTCAACTGAGCAGTGAGAAAAGCCTGATGAAAAAATTATCTATCTGAATCAAAGCAACAGGTATCACTTATCTCCACTAAGCAAGCCTGAGTAAGCTGAGAAAGAGATGACATATTGCATTTTGAAAATGGCTGGGCCTGTAATGCTTGGACATTGCAAGTGCCTGAAGTGAATCTCACCTTTATTCCTAAGCCGTCACGCCGGAAGGTCGGAGCATGGACTTCGTGTTTATTCTTCCTTTGATCAGGTATCTCCAACCATCAGAACTGAGGAGGACTGACAACATTACATTAGAGAGCCGGCGGCGAGGGTTGAAAGCATTGTTGAAAGCAAGGGTTGAACTTGAAAAGCTGACAAGTAAGAGTAAATGATAAGAGATAACAACAACAATGGCGCCGGCGCATCTCACCAATCACCTGATTGCATCACTTGTTTTTTTTTGAGGTTATGATTAGTTTACCTGTCTTGTGTTTTGTGCTTTCTTATCTATCATTTTGTCTTGCCACTTTATCTGATATGTCTGCTTCAGCAAGAACCAATTAAGAACTCAGTAATTTTTACGTTATTTTTTGCGTCAGTTTCCATCGTATTAATTTCAACAGCAGTCATGAAGCCGCGGTTCGACACATTTGACATAATATGCTCTCTCCTCGAGCTTCAGAAGTAAGCACTTCTACACTCTTTTCATAATATTTTTCATTTTTTGGCTGATTTCTTTGTAATTTGCTCACCTAATTTTACTTTAACATTCCATCACACAAGTTTTCTCTGTAGAATCAGAAATTTCTTGTACAGCTTCCTCCTCATGAGTGGCGAGCCCATTCTTTCATTCCATGTCAAATCAATTTTTCATCCAAGTATCTCTTATGACAATTCAACCAGTATAAATGTAGGAAAACAGCCATTATTCTCATAACATTAGTTGTTTAGAAACTACCATATTGCAGTTGCAGAAGTTATTCGTCTTCTGTCTTTGAGCTCAAGGAATATGGTGACACTGCGGTCCACATTTGCTATAGACACATCGTACTCCAAATAGAAGCAGTCTACTAGGTGCTTCCTGCTGCTTATCACTGAACTTTGTTATGGAAGAAGAGACAGTGTATGAGAAAGTAATGGCTAATTAGTTCACTGAAACTAATCCCTCAATATTGGAGGTGTAACTTAGCCGCTTACTGTAGCAGGTGCATTGTTGAAATAAACTCGTCTGATTCTGTTCGGTACCTTTGTTTATGGAACACAACCAAACGGTTCTACTGACCCTCTGAGATCGTCAAGAGTTTGGCAGAATCTTTAGGCATTCACATGTAATCACGCAAGTCGTTTGGTTGTAAAATGGAGTCTAACAACACCATTCGTTGGCATCCGGTAACTCCGTTTCCTAATGTTCCAAAACAGTTTACTTAAGCAACGCACCTATAAAATCCTTAGGAGTTTATGTAAGCGTATAAGTTACTGATTTATCACTGAAATCCTAGTATTATCATCTAATATTCACCTAATAATATCACCTAATATTCATCCTGTGAACATGAAATCAGCCAGGCCAAAACAAGGGAGTAGGTAAATTATCTCTAATGTAAGGCCTAGACTCATCCACTGTCATGTCAATTGATTCCGAGGTGGGTTCAAGGCACGCTAACAAAATTAATGCAATATTAAAAGCACACAATTACAAAATTTTGTTTCCAAGTTCCTAAACTCGAGGGCCACTATATGCCTCATCATCCAAAATGGAGGGCCCCAGTCTCGCCAGTCAAATCCTGCATCTTTGCCTGTCAGCAAGATTTGCAGTTTGCCTAACTTTTGACAATAGAAAACCCTCAAATTTTCAGGATCATTTCTGGAGTTAAGTACGGTTTCTCTCTAAGCCGCTAGAATTGCCTTAAGATTGCTGTGATCTATGGATTGCAGCACTCTTTGGACCCCTAGCACTATTATCAGTTATTTTTGGTTGAGAGGTTACAGATTTTATTTAATGTTCCTCTTAGTAAACCATTTGCCACAAATTATGCCTTTCATAAAAAAATCTTTATTTCATGATCAGACAAACCCAAGTCATGTTCAATTCTTAATGCTGTGCTAGACTTTGAAGAAATGTTCAATCTAATTTCCTTTCTGCGGTTTTCTCTTCCAGGCTCGTTGGAATGCGTTTGAATCAAGTTTATGACATTGATAATAAAACATATTTACTCCGGTTTCAAAGAGGCGAAGAAAAGTGTGTGTTGCTGTTAGAATCTGGAACTCGTTTCCATATAACTCAATTTGAGTGGCCAAAAAATGATTCACCGTCTGGTTTCAGTATGAAGGTAATTTTTACGTTATCTCTAAATTTCTCTTCTATTATTGTATTATTTTGCACCCATCAATTTTTAATCTAATTGGTTTTTAATCACATTCATGAGCCGTTTTCATTGACAAAGGCGTCTTCAGTCTTGATTTCTACACTTTCATAAAAGATTTTGGAGGTTCTGAATCTGAAGAGATGTGTACTATTTTGGATATTCATATTACAACACATTCTATTAGCTGTAGGTACCCTGTAATTTTGATAAGTAAGGGAAATTATTGCGAAGCCTTTGATTAAGCTACAATTGCTGTTGTGCTGCCTCAATGAAGAGTAATTTGAATCAAATACTTCTTGCTTACGGTGGCCTTTGAAAATTAAACAATAATAATTTTTTCAAACTCTTCAAAAGTCAATAAAATAATTTTATGCCATTCATATTGAATTGTATTTGCCCATAACTATATTACAAAGTTAAATAATATTTTTTGCTCTAATTTTGTACAATTTTTTTTTCACTCAGAACATCTTGCTTGGTGGTGTCAAATTCTAGGTATGCTTAAACATAGCTTCAAATAATCAACACAGGTAAAGGCTCTTTTATGAGTCTCTGAGATGTGTAAGCACTATCCTTTTTCAATGTTATAGTTGCGGAAACATCTTAGAAATAAAAGGCTCGAGGCAGTTCATCAACTAGGAGTGGACAGAATCGTGTCCTTTCAATTTGGAACGGGAGAGGCAGCATACTACGTCATTTTAGAACTTTATGATCGTGGGAATATTCTCCTAGCTGATAAAGATCACGTCATTCTCAATATCCTGAGATACCATGTCCATGGTGAAGATGCAAGGTAAATTGAGTAAAATTTAGCAACTTAGAATTAACTAGAATGAGTTCCAAGCAAAATGCAGTTCCATTGATTCTGTATATGGAGCATGAAGTATAATTTTTGAATTTTTTTTTTCTTGTATTTTAAAGGACTTTGCTTGTTCATTATTGTATTTTCCAAAGGAATTATTTGACTTTTCTCTGCCCTTAAATCATAGTTGGGTTGGCAAAATGAAGAAGAAATATTTAATATGTATCATTTTTATTCATATTTTTTTATATTCTCAAAAAAAAATTAAAAAAAAAAAGAACCAGAAACTTGAATGAAAATTGTATTTTTGTAGCTCTTTAAAATCTGGAGGAAAATGCAGATTACAGATACTGACAATTTGAGGAGCTTGGAGAGAAAAGCGCATAAGTGCAGTTTTTGCTATCTCGAGAAATACGTGTTTGAAGTTTCAAAATTGAATGGATACTTATGAAGGAAAGAAAGTTCAAACAGACTTTTCGATGCTTAAAAATTGAATTTTAGGAGCAAATTTTTTGCAGACAATGCATTAAGACTACTTTTACTCAAAATAATTAATATCTCAATTTTTTCAAAAACTGCTTTTATGCACCTTGTTCTCCAAGCCCCTTATTTGTAAAAAAAAAAAAAAAAAAAAAACACACACACACACACAGAAACTTGGAAAAAATGGAATGTTTTCACCTTTAAATTCATTTCCAGATTTTATAAAAAGCATTCTTCAGAAAATGCAAGTATGCAACAGTGTAAACACAAAACACAATGTAAATTGAGTTAACGCATTTTAGTTCCATGATCATCGCTGCTTCTCCAGTTCTCCTTCAATCATGAACTTCAACTACGTAATTAAATCAGATAAAGAAATTAGAAAAAAGCTGCCTAGCACAAAAATTTTAAAGTATCACGTGAAGTCATTCTGGCTGACTGGAAGAGGGAGGGAGGCTGTTGGAAAATAATTTGCATCTGAAGAATGACCTAAGTCGGGAAGAGGATCAAAATTGTAATTGGTTTTACTTATTTCTTTACCTGTTCTTTTTTTCTGTGGGAACAGATTTGCAGTGCGTGAAAAGTATCCTCTCAACCTCGCCAAACAGAGATCAGATCTTCCAACAGAAGATAAACTACGTGAGATTCTCAGAAATAAAGATGGAGAGAATCTAAAAAAGGTCCTCAACCCACATTTTGGTAAGTTCATGATGTAATTCATACATTTATAGGACAAAATACTCTGAATTTCTCAAAATGAATTTGTTATTATAAAAATTAAATTTGTATTTTTTGAAATTCTTTATTTGTAGGAGGATAGGTATCAATGGCCATTGGAAGTCGCAGAACGCCCCAGTGTACTGAGTTAGAGGCTTAAATTAGAAAAATAAATTTGATAAAAGTATTTCTTTCTTTTTAGTCGTGCGGCGAAGCCGTATAGACTCTAGGTTTCGCCGGAGGCTAAAAAGTGTCCACACTTTTAGGCTAAGTCCAAGAGGAGAATTTTCGAGGAACCAAGTAACATATGAGGTATTGATATCGGTGCATTTTGGCCCAATGGAGATGTTACATGTGCGAGGAATTTGCAATTTGACTGTTGATTCTTGTATAAAAGTTCGCGAGGAACACAATGGTGCCACTGGTTTTCTCTGAAATCATCTNCATTTTTCTTTCCCTGGAACCTAAATGTATATTATGAATTTGAATCCATCAGAAACTAAGTCAGTCAAAATCAAATTTAACTACATACGAAGTGAAAACTATTTGTATTTCGCAAATCAAAGTGATAGTTAAAGCAACCAAACTGTGTCAGAAATGTTCCCAAATTACTGGGTAGGGCTTTTATCAGCTCATCATCTGATCCAATAATTTTAATTGTGGCATTTCATTCGGCATGTCGCCGCACGACTTCTATGATACTCAAAGTCTCACATATATAATTTGAAAGGGGGGGTCTGGGGGGGCGGCGCCCCCTCAGCAGGTAGCTTTTGCTACTTGTTTTATTTATTTATTTCATCCAATTTCAGGTTTTTTCTTTAAAAAAAAGAGTAGCATTTATCACAAGTATATGCTCTATGTTTTCAAAGCAGCTGAAATAACAGATACCACAGTATTCTTTAATGTTTATTTTATACTTATATTCATTGATTTTAATAAAGAAGAAAGATAGTTTGTTGGGTATTCACAGTTGGTAGCAGATTTAATCACACTAATGCATTCTTTAGCTACCTTTTGATGAAAGTAAGTTAGGGTTGGCTTTTGCTCGTCTTCTTCAACTAATTTTACAGCTGTTTTGCTGTGACAGAAATTGTGCTTTGTCGTTTGCGTTATTCTCATCACATCAATTCAGGTTCAGCTGTTGCGAAGAACAAGAATCAAAAAGAACCCATGAAAAAGTGAAATTGATATTTTTGTTTCTTCCATATTAAATTATAAAGTTTTCTATCTGAATTTCCTTTTGGTAAAAATGCGTACAACTTTTCCCTAAATTCATATCTGATTGATAAATTTCCTCTCATTGAAAAAGTTGAGTAATTTTATAAACCCCTTTTACTGATGTAATATTTATTTTCCCATTGTCACAGTGTCTATAGATTTATAAGTTTTTCTTGTTCTTTTCTGTGACTACAGAATATGGGCCAACGATCTTGGAGCATGTCTTGTTAGAGGTCAATCTAGCAGGTAATATGAAAGTAGGTAAAACGTTCATAATTGACCAACACCTTCCGCAGCTTCTCGAGGCTTTTTCTGCTGCTGAGAGGCTCATCAACGAAGCGATAAAGTCTCCTGCAAAGGTATTTATTCACTACTAAGGTTCTTTTTTCTTTTAAAATGTCTTGTCAATAACCTGTTTTTGTGCACTTGCAGTACTAGTTGTTAGCTATTATTTAGGTAATGTGTCATAGTGAAATCATAGATAACCTTTTGTTATAAGGACTCAGTAAGATAAAGCCTAAGGCACACTTGACACCAAATTGGGTATCATTAGCCAACTGATTCCCCTTAACTCTCTTCCCATGACAAAAAAAAAGGTCAGGTGTCACAAGTCAGTGCATCGACCAAAAGCCTTTTAGATTTAGGTTTTTGTCAAACTGCAATCCTGTGTCAGCCTCCCGTGGTGTAGTGATTGTAGTGCAGGCCCTATATTCAAGAGGTCCTGGGTTCGATTCCTGGCCAGGTGACTTAAGTTTGATGGTCTCAGACAATGGTCACCTGGGGCTGGTTGTGTGCATGCATTTGCCAATAGGGGCTATTCCAAGCTTGTAAAAGAAAAAAAGAAAAAAAAATCACCTCGCAGGTTTTAATCCATATTTTAGGCATAATGAAAGTTGCATTTAATTATGATCGGATGATCAAAGAAATTTGTGAACTTGAGATATATAACAGGAAACTTGTTCAATCTTTTAAAGTGATTCATATCTGAATGCATGGAACTCTTTTGTTTGTTGCCTTGTCAATTATTTTTCATCAGCTTGTCCTAGTTATTTAAGTTACAAACAAAACAAGTTAAGTTACTAGTTGCAGTTAAAAATTCAATCTTATATATTTTAATAAATTAGAAGGAATTGAATATTTTTTTATCTCTCGCTCTCTCTCTCTCCCTCCCCTCTTTCTCTCGGAAAGTTCTCTCAGATTTCCCAGTCAGATGAATCAATGGTCCTGAATGAAAATGAAGAGAAGAGAAATTAACATCCTAGTGTGTAAAGTAAAGGCTTCGGTAATACTGACAAAGTAATACTACTAACTGAAAATGTTTTTTCCAGGGTTATATTATTCAGAAGAAAGAGGAGCGTGCCTCAGGTGAAGGACCTCTTTATACTTATCAAGCTTTCCATCCATCAGTAGGAGCTGAGAAAACAGTGGCTAGACAACATGCTGCACAGGATGTCCGATGGTTTGACGGTTTCAATCCTGCTGTTGATGAATATTTTTCATCTCTGGAAACTCAAAAAATTGACTTGAAAGCTGTTCAACAGGTATAATTAATTTCTCTTTAAAGTAAATAGGGCTCATTTTCTCACTGATACGAGAGGCTCTTTATTTTCTTTTGGAAGTATATCTTACACCCAATTCACAAGGTCCCTTTAATTGAACAAAAATTTCAATGCATGATCCTGAAACAATGGAAAAAAGATTGAGTAAAAAGTTGGTTTGAAACTTGAATACTTTTGGGGGAGCTTTACTACACAAGAAAATGATTTAAAAGGTTAAAAGTTAAATTGTTTACTCACTTGCACGTTTTTTTAATTATTTTTCCGCAGACGCGTTTCGGTCAGTCCGGACCATTTTCAATGCTCGATCACGACTCTTTTTTTTTTTTTTTGAAACTTGAATGTAAAGTCTCATCCAAATATTCATACAGCTTTCTATCTTTGCATTGATTGGATTAATGGAAATTTGGATTATAATCTTCCATCTAAAATCAGATGTAGCCGTATAATAGGAACCAAGTTTCTTGAGAAGCTTGAAGTACCACAATTTGAGTTCTTTCAGTGCCTGAAGAAAGGTATTCCCCAGTATTATTTGAAGTCTCCATGAGTAAATGAAAAAAGGAACCCACTTCAAAATACTTCTCAAGTACCTGTTCGATAGAAAAAATCTTTCTCTCTTGGAATATGTTCAACTTATGCATAAATTTTTAAGTATTTGAATGTTACAGGGGATAAAAAAAAGGAGTAGAACAAGATTCTTATGCAATTGTATCAAAAGAAGCCACATTCAACAAACCGATTATAGTAGCCTTCCAGTTATCTAATCACTAATAATCCAACGCCTCAGTTAAAATTGAGGTTTTGGTCAAAAACAAATTAGTCAACATGACGGAAACCGGGTTTTAGGCAAGAATTTACTGTTAAACATTTTTATATACTTTTTCCCTATTAAATAAATATGTTTTACAACCATGGTAGGAAATTGGTCAAGTTTGTGCTTTTTAGTTTAAAACAGCCTGAAATGGCATTTTTCAGTTTTTTTTGGACGTTTCGATTACCTGACATCTTCCATCTCCGATGCAGCCCTCCCACAGATCGTCAATTAATCAAGGCATAACTGTACTTGGTCTGTGAGTTGAATGTCAATTTTATGTTGTAAATTTACAGGAAATTATATGCAGCTTTAAATATTTTTTGCATTTAATTGATGCTATCAAATTTTAAAGTTGCACCCTGAATATGTATTCTGTGAGTATGCAGTAAATATAATCCATTCAATTTTAGTTCGTAAGAGTTTTATCCCAGCATTTTTATTGTGTCGCTAACTTTTCATTATTAATTTTTTATTCGATTAATTAATATAAGTTTGTTTTTAATCTATTAGGAGCGAGATGCTCTCCGGAAACTGCAAAACGTACAAAGAGATCATGATGAACGAGTAAGTGCTTTGGAAAAGGTCCAGTTGGATGATAAATTACGAGGAGAGCTTATAACACGTAATCAAGCAATTGTCGATGCGGCTATCATGTTCATCAGAAGATGCATTGCAGCTCAATTGTCGTGGGACGACATCGGCAACTACATCAAAGAAGCAGCCGCACAGAATGATCCAATAGCCTTGTTAATAAAAGATCTGAAGCTTAACATCAACCATATAACACTGTTGCTCAGGTAAAATGAAATTCCCCTTCAAACTCCTCTGTGTTAACTGGATTCCATTCTTCTTATTTGCATCCAGATTTCTAATCTGAGTACAAATGTAAATAATTTTTGTCACGAGCATGCTGGCAGTTGCTTTAACAACCGCCAGAATACTTATGAGTTACACAATTTTTATGTTTATTCTACTGGCGGCCTCAACTTTTATTTAATTTTCTTTTCATTATTAGTACCACAAATAATTCTATGCCTCACATTGTCTTTAACATTTCCTTGGATCTAGTTTGTGCTTTATGTATTAGAATTTTATCTCTGGTTTATTTTAACAAGCAAGACTCAAAAATTTCAAATACCCTTCTCATTTGTAGGTACTTTCAGCTCACAATGCACCACAAAAGTCTGTCAGTGAACTCAATTAAACCCTCAAGCCCTCTTATCACCTTGAAATGTTTAATACCTTACTTCAGGCTTATGCAGCTATGTATGCAGAGGCTGTTGCAACACCTATTGAATATTTGTATTTGTTGAAAAAGGGCATTCTTAAAAAATTTGGAAAAAAGGGTAAAGTTAGTCCTGATGAAGTTTGGCGTTTCCATTAATTTTTGTCTGTTATACTGTGTTCATCCATCTCTTTCCTTTTTTCCAGTGACCCGTATGCTGAAGAGGAGGAAGAGAACAGTTTGAAACCCATGTTGGTCGACATTGATCTTGATCTGTCTGCTTTTGCCAATGCGAAAAAGTAAGTTACTCATCATTTTTATCTTTAAGAAGATAAAATTTGCTAATCAACCCCTCATGATCCTCCAATTTGTCTCAAAATTGGAGGTCAGAAATGTTGTTTTTTTAAAGTTGACTAGTATAGTACTGAAATTTTAGAAAAAAGGGACTTAAACTTAAAAATCAGTCGGATTTAATCAAGAGGAAGTATCAGTGAAGAAAAGTATTGAAAATTGTATGTTTCAACTATGCTTCATTTAGCTAGTACAAGCGCCCTAAGTTAGGCTCATGACACACAAGGAACAGCAAGTCCTGATTACTCATATTACTGCTATGGAATGGAGTTTTTTCTCCACTGTGCCTTCAAAAACTGCACAATCGTTATAATTTGATTTTTTTTTTGAAACAAGAAATTCTTGTTTGGCAGACATGCCTGCACCTTTAATTTTCCTATTTTTGCAATTGATGTCACACAATTTCATTGAATTAAATTCAGTGTATTGTATAAATTAAAAAAAACAGTCCCCTGCTTAATTTGCCCTGCCATTTGCAGTCGCTTCAAATCGAATATGAAAGCACCCTTGTGAGCTTTGCATTTATTTAGTGCATATTCCAAAAACAAATACACTATTGTGTAAGTGGCTCTTTGTTGACCTAACATCTTTATTAAATGACGTCAATCCTGATTTAGCATTCCCAACTGAAGAACTGTCTTATAAACTTAACTCTAACCAAGCATTCTAAATCGTAACCAGGAAAAAGGCTAAAATTGTGAAATAGGAGGAGTATCAAACTACTGGTAAGGTCGTTATTTTAACAAGCTGCCACCATTCCTGACCTTTGATTATACCGGACTCGTTTAGTTTTGCTCGGCTGTTATGAGGACAGGCAGTAGACCCGTTAAAATGGGTCTGGTAAAATTAAAGGCGAGAAAAGAAAAGAAATTAAAAATTAAAGAAAGTAAAGAGTTTTTTATATAACGACCTTGCAAATACTAAATGAAGTCATTTCTGATTTTACATCCGAAACCAGACAACTATCTCATCAACTCTACTCTAACGAATTATTGTTCCTCTGACAGGTATTTTGATGCCAAAAGGAGCGCAGCCAAGAAACAACAGAAAACTATTGAATCTGTTGGGAAAGCCTTGAAATCTGCGGAGAAGAAAACAAAGCAGGCCTTGAAAGAAGTGCAAACAACAACAAATATTATCAAAGCACGCAAAGTGTTTTGGTTTGAAAAGTTTTTTTGGTTTATCTCATCTGAAAACTACCTTGGTAATTTGAGTCTTATTATTTTTGTTTTGATCATTATATTTGAGATGCTTTCTTTATCAAAATTTTATGTAGAGGGTATCGAATACAGCAGAAATCTGTGTAGACGTGGGAATAGCAATTATAATCACCTTAGCATGGGTTCATTCAAACTTCTCGCCTGCGAAAATTTTTTATGTTTTTCACTGAACATAATGAAATCAGCCTTTCAAAACAATCCTGTAAATTTGGCAGAATATTAGTATTTAATTTAACCTTGGAACCTCAGGAACCTTGTTAACTTGTCGAGAAAAACTCACCACTCACAGAAGTTTCTTCAACTGTATTACATCTTAAAATAAAAAGAGTAAATTCAGTCGTCAAACTTTAAAACTATTAGTTCACTCATTTTATTATTGGCCAATCGTTTTGGTGCCTCGCTCCATTCACAGCTCTCATCAGAGTCATGATGAGAGCTGAGGATGAAGCGGGCCAGGGAAACAAATGCCTGATAATCTAATGAGTGAACCAAGAGTTTTTAAAATTTTATGACCAGGTTCACCCTTTTCAGTCTAAAGTCTACTGTTTTTTTAATTATATCTCTCTCCTCAAAATACTAAGTAAGTGAAGTCTCCGATTTGTATCGAGTTGACTTTGATTTTTGGCAAGTAGGAGGTTTTGATTGACACAAATGGAGCTTATTAATCCCTCCTGTATGTACTGAAATTAGATATTTTCAATTCACCCACCGTATAATACTGTGAAATTTTGATATTTTACAGTGTGTGTGTGTGTGTTACAGTGTTTATTTCTTACTCTATTGAGTGGTCCATTTACTTCAGTCTTTAGTTTTCAGTTAATGTGTATTTACAATGGGATGAATATTTTGTTTTTAGTGGTCGCTGGAAGAGATCAGATTCAAAATGAAATAATAGTAAAGAGGTATCTCCGTGAGAATGATATCTATGTTCACGCTGACATATCTGGCGCTAGTAGTGTGGTCATAAAAAATCCAACATCTGATCCGGTACCACCCAAAACGTTGAATGAGGCTGGTGTCATGGCAGTCTGTTACAGGTAAGCCTGTTAGGCTCTCATGCTTTTTAACGTCAATATTATCCCCAGGTTTTTTTTTTAAAGCAATCAGTTCTATCATATTTATCATAGGAACTTCAGACATGAAAATTATACCAACTCACTCAAAAGAGAAAAAAAAAACAGTCTTCCAACAAGTTGTAAACAAAAATGGGGCTGCTGAAGGATCTAGGTGTTGTCTTGAAGATAAGTGTTTTTCCTTACGCAAATGTAAATACCACCGGTATTTGATTTTCATTAATTGATCTGCTTTTACATTTAATACGTAACAGTGCAGCAAATCATTATTGTATAGTAAAGTCTCTGTCTTTCAGACATTTCATTATGGCTGTTGTAAATTTTGTAGGGAACACCAGCCATAGAAATTTTTTAGAATTTATAAAATTGATCTTAATTTAAATTTTTTGCAGTGTCGCATGGGATGCAAAAGTCCTTACTGGTGCTTATTGGGTTAATGCAAATCAGGTCAGCAAAACAGCGCCCACCGGTGAATATTTAACAACAGGTAGTTTCATGATCCGAGGAAAGAAAAATTATTTGCTTCCAGCTCAGCTCGCCATGGGCTTTAGTTTCTTATTCAAATTAGAGGAAAGTTCTGTGTCTCGGTAAGTAATTGGATACCTATTACCTATTGATTAGATTACAAAATTACATAATCTGTCAGAAAAGTTTAAAAAATGTATTCATTCCTGTTTTTTCTCTGTTTTTTACATAAGAGCAATTTCATAGACTTGTTAAAAAATTTCAGGAAATTTAATCAACGCCCTAAAGGGAGTTCCTTAAACCTTTCAAAAAAATCGGTACAACTCGGTACTGAGTGCCCATATAAGGACACCATGATAATAATAATAATAATAAAAAAAATTCTGTTCAATCAGGCACAAGGATGAAAGGAAAGTGAGGCAAAATGATGAACTTGAACCCATCAAAGAAGAAGAAAAAGATGTAGAAATGGAATTAGAACTTAGCGACAATGAGCCTGCCAGTGGTGAGTATTTATTCCAATTGTTTTCAGAAAGACATACCCATTGATTTGAAAATGTTGAATATTGGTGGCTAAAGTGGGGCGTTGTAGACTTCTTGTCATACTTTATTTTTTCTTTGGAAAACTGATCAAAGTAGTTTCTCAAAAACTGCCTTGATTTTTCGACTCCATTAACAGAATATGTAGTTTGAATTTTACTCGCAAATTCTATCCAAATTATCACTGATTTTTGCGCGTAATTAGAAGAAAATTCTGTGAAATTTTCAATTAAAAATGCCCAATTGTTTCATAAGCAAAGCTCAATTTTTGTATGGAAATATTGCAACCTCGAAATGTAGTTACATTTTTTTGTCAGAGAAACAACAAATGACTTTGTGAAAAAAAAAAAAAATAAATAGTCCCTCTGAAGATAACACCTGATGTCCCTTGTTTTCCTTTCAAAAACCAATGCCCGTTTTATACTGATTAACTCTGAATCAAGTACTCTCAAAAAAATTTTGAAATGGCTTTTCCTTCAAATTATGCATCTTTCTTAAATGTATGGTTTTTTTTTCTTTCTTTTTTTTTACAGAGAATATCGATGAAGAAAAGAAAGAAGAGCTTTTCGAGTTTCCTGACACTGAGTTGCAGATACAACATTCTGGCTTAAATAAGTAATTCAATTTACTCTGACCATTAGACTAAAATTAAAACACTACCTGAATTCAACCGAAAATGAACAAGAAAATCCTTAGATGTGTGTGTGTTTCATCGACATGAATTACAGAAATTATATTCGAAAACCTCAGGATTCTTTCACAACTAAATTTAATTTCAAAATTGTATTCATTTGATTAGTGTCTGACCCTGCTAATTTTCTCATTATTTTACAACTGCCAAGTTTTATAGTCTAAAAATTTCCTTTTTGAAAAATAAGTTATAAGTAATGAGAAAAATTTGTTCTGCAATGATAGAAACTTTTTCTTTTTTGAATTGATTCTTAAAATTTCCTTATCCAATCGTAAGTGACTTAGACCCAATGGCAGAGGCTACACAGAAATCATAATGTAATTTCTTGCCTAACTTAGCCTACCTATGTACGGTTTTGGCTCCTGTCTTTATCGGCTTGCAATCGGTGAAGGCTGGGATAATTTACTGCCTTTCCGTGGCCTAGCGGGGGACAGTTGTCATAACACGATTTTCTTCCTGCTTCAAAGCAACCCTCCCCCCCCCAAAAAAAAAAATTGGCCTCTTCTTTGGACTTAATCAAATCATCAATATGTAATTTTAAAATTAATAAGATTTCTCATTGCAACTGTAATCATAATGAAGACAACAGAAGAATCTGTTTTTTCAGTTTTGCAATAATACTAATTTTATTCAATTTCAATGTACAGAAACAAGGGGAGAAAAAAGTAAGAAGATCAAATTTCAGAGACTTTGAAATTAATGATCTCTTTCAATTACTCTGACCTGTAACCACTAATATAATCGTAGGTCTCTCTTTTTTTTTATATTATTTCTTGCCAGCTTATTTTTGCTGTGTGTCAAACCTCCTATCTTTTTGTCATTCCAGAGTTAGCGTGAAATTAAAAAACACAACTCTAACAACGAAAGAGGATAGCGGTGATGAATCTAGCGACGATGAAGATAGTGATTCAGATAAAGATGAGCAAGTTGTCTATTTAGGAGACAATGAGCCTGTAATTTTGAAACCAAGTAGTAAGAAATCCAATTCTGCGGCAGCATCGCAGACAAAAAGTAGTCAACCTCAAAAAATGCAAGGTGAGTGTTCTAAACACTGTCGGCCTTTAATAATTAATTCAAACCTTGGTAACTTGAAAATGCAGTATCCCGAAAAAGTTGCATCATAAACCTGATTATCTTGAAGCTTCTCTGGGCGTGAATCAGTCTGTTGTCTCACCTGTTCGTTGCGGCAAAATATCTGAACAGTGTAAGACATTAGTATTATCCAATATATGAGCTTTTATAGACGTAGTCAAAGCAAGAGGGGCAAAAATCAAAGAAAACAAAAATTGCCAGAGAATTCAACATCTCTGCCAGTGTATGATCCACAATTTCAAAGAATGAGGAGGAACTCATTGAGAAGAATGTTGTGTGAATGTTGCCAATGGAAAGTGTTCATTCCATATGAGCCTTGAAGTACATATCAGAGTGTAGAAGTGCTTGGGGGCTCACTTAAGTATGGACATATCAGTTCCCTTAAAATAACACAAGATTCATTTATTGTCATTCATTTTACAGCGGAGAAAGACAAAGAAACAAAACCTGTACCACAAATTAAAAGAGGTCAAAGAAGTAAAATGAAAAAAATAAAAGAAAAATACAAGGACCAGGATGAGGAAGAAAGAAAGTTGAAGATGCTAATTCTTCAGGTGAGTTATTTTTCTAATTTTCTTGAGGACAAGGCAAAGAAGGCCTAGGCTAAGGGGGTGAACATTGACCTAACCATATTTCATTGCAAAAAAGAACAGTCTTGAATGGCTTGCTGCATAGGACACCCAACATTTTTTATTGTTTCATGGTAGAACTCTTATAGAAAATTTTGTGGTTTTCTTTGTAGATTTGAGATAGAACAAATTTTACTCCCCAATTTAATATGGTCAGGTCAAATTAAACTCTTTTGCTCTAACTTCTTCCTTCTCTGCTTCTATTATCCTTTCTTGGTGAAACTGTTGAAATGCGTATCTCGTTTGCAGTGTTTCGAAATCTATGTGCCTATTTTATTTTTTAAAAAGATACCAAATCATCATCATTGCTCAAAATGTATTCAGAATATTCGTCACATAGGGGGAAAAATCACCAAAGTCTCAAAGAAATGACGTATAGTTGTTTTCCATGTAGAAAATAAAGTATGGCTGGAAGTTTGCAATGCTGCAAGTGGAAATATGAATTTCTGTAGCAACACCATTGATTCGTTGATAACAGACTTTAACCCCCTTTTATTTTGTCAGATCAGTTAAACCTGCACCACTTGGTTGAAGATATTAAAATTCACATTAATGAAGATTTATCTTACACCAAGCAGACTTTAACACATTTTTGAGCTAATGGAAACCTTCTTATACATATATATGAGTCACTGTCACAGCACTCTCTGGCGTTCTGCAACGCGTAATCGCCTCAAAACTCGGTCCTTTCACAACCTGTCAGGGAGTTGGCACTCCCTCATCTCATTTAGAACCCCCTGTTGCCACCCTTTTACTGGGCATGCCCTTCATCTCTTCCCAGGAGGAACCCAATCAAGCATCTTTTTTGGCGGCCTCTCTTCCGTCATCCTATTTACATGACCGTACCAGACAAGAAATATGATAGATGCTCTGCAGCCCGTGACAAGACATACAATAAAAGACCAGACAAGTTGTTTGGTCATGATGTCGAACACCATATCATTTTTGACTTCCATGATCTGACGCACTCTGTCATTATAGACCCGATCTTTCCTAGAAATTCTTGCCGACCTTCTTCAGAAATCCATCTCCGTTGCTCTTAACACATCCTGAAAACCATGAAATCATGAAAACCTTTTTTTAAAACCATTTTTCCAAGTAGCCACAGCCCCGAGGAGCCACCCTTGCGCTCTACCTCCCAATCCTATTTTACACCCAGCCCTAGATCACCCTCGCCTGGGGTCATCAAATTCAGGTTGAGCAACCATGAATCGAACTTGGAACCATCTGATCACAGGGCTTGTGTCACAACCACTCCACCTTAGGAGTCGGACAACTGATTGATGGTTTTTTCTTTTAAACATGCATGGAGTACCTACTTTTGGTAAGCTGGCTGAAGTTCTAAAGGTATCCATCCAAGGAGATAAAGTGTAAGTGAACCATCATGCAATTTAACCTGTATTTGAAATTTTTCTTGGTTCACTCCAGTCAGCCGGAACTAAAAAGGAAACAAAGAAAGACAAGAAGAAAAACAAAGATGGAAGAAGCAATAGGCCAAAAACAGATGAAGTGAAACCAAAGCCTGTTCCGAAAGTAGCAGTGAAACGAGATGGTGACGAGGAAGAGGAAGAGGTCGCTGTGAATGATGATGTTAATATGTTGTGCTCTCTCACAGGGCAACCCCATCCAGAGGATGAGCTCTTATTTGCCATCCCTGTTATTGCTCCGTATGCTGCTGTATCTAATTACAAGTAAGTTTCTTTTTTTAGTGCATTTTTTTATTTTTTCAAATACAGTAAAAGCTCACATAGGCCCTGTCCACACGAGCGCAGTTCGCGGAACTTATTCCTTGAAACGAGGCATGCTGTCCACACGAGTTCGCCCGAACTGGAACCGGAAATTCAATAAAACTATACAATTATTACAAAATAATAGATTATTACGTGGTCTGTCCGGAAAGTATCAGGACTTTTTGATTATCTCGGAATGTAATGCAGATAATGAGCTGAAACTTGGGTTAGACTTTGCCCATGTCCTCTCTAATGCAGCCACACAATCGGGCTTTCACACTTTTAATCAGTCGATGGCAATCAACTGATCAAAGTGTGTGTGTCAAGTGCTATCGTCGCGTTTTTTTTTTTTTCGTGAAATGACCGAGCGTGAAGATCATAAAATTTGTATTGAATTTTGCTTTAATCTGGAAAAATACTGCCAAGGAGACCTTGGAAATGATTCGGAAAGCTTTCGGCACTGATTCTATGAGCAAGAGCAATATTTATGAGTGGTATAGGTAATCGTTTTAAATCGGGTCGTGAAACAGTCGCTGGTGATCCGCGGTCCGGGAGACCTTCTTCGACGAATTCTCCCGATAACGTGGAAAAAGTTCGGGAAGCTATTGCCCAAGACAGTCGGTTAACCGCGCGGGAACTGGAAGAGCAGCTAAATATCCCAAAGACCATCGTTGCGGAAATTTTAACTGAAAAACTCGGGCTCCGTAGAAAGGCAGCGAAATTTGTGCCAACGCTCCGGCTCATTCCTCCTGTCTTGTGCAATAGTTTCTGGCAAAGCACGGTATTCCTCTGGTTCCACATCCTCCACACAGTCCAGACTTAGTTCCTTGCGACTTCTGGCTGTTTCAAAAGCTGAAATCTCCAATGATTGGAACTCGATTTGACTCCATAAATGTCATCAAACAGAATACGACGAAAGCGCTGAAGGACATCCCAAAGGAGTGCTTTTTGGACTGTTTCGAAAAGCTCAAAAATCGCTGGAACAAGTGCATTGTGTCTTACGGAGAGTACTTTGAAGGAGATTAAAGTCACAATGTCATAGGTAAGCTCCATTTCTCAAAATCTAAAAAGTCCTGATACTTTCCGGACAGACCACGTACGACCGCCAAAGTAACAAAAATAAATGTCAAGATATATAAAGGACGTAAAAAACAAAAACAAGCAAATTCACATCAAAAGAAACATATGTAGAAGCTTGGAGTACGGGGGAAGTTCCGGGTTTTGGAGGAATAAGTTTTAGCTCAGCTGAAAACTTGTTCCGGGAACAAGTTCCTCGAAATAAGTTCCGCGAACCGCGCTCGTGTGGACAAGGCCTAAGTCAAACTACGTTTAAGCCAAAATGCCCATTAAATCGAATTTTTTTTTAGTTCCTAGGCATGTCCATAAGACAAGTGGAGAATCGGTTAAGACAAATTGCTCCTTAAGTCGAATTTTTGTCGGTCCCTACATAATTCCACTTAGCGAGGTTTCACTGTATGATGCAGCATTTAAGAGGATACCGCTTCATCTCCTTGCAATACATCGGACCTATTTAATTAACCATCATTCCTATTTATCTCAAACTGGACTTATAAGCACTCCTTGAAGAAGGAGATTAAGATGGAAAACTACTCTCATTTATCCTTTGTTTCTGAGTTTAAAATTGGGAGAAGGGACGATCATATTAAAAAGTCTTACAAGCGCCAGAAGAATTATTTATGGAAAACCTAACTAACAGAATCACTTGAAAATTGTATCTAATACATGTATTTCTCATAACATTAAAATTAATCCTTAAAATTTGCACGAAAGTATGTGCGAGAGTTGATAGATAAAATTAAAACAATATTGAGATGTCTGGCAACATATCTTCTAAGCGTCAATGTCACTTTTCATCCTTTGGTGAAAAGTGACTACTTAAATTCATAACATACTGGTTTAAGAGTACTGGCTGAGAAAGGTTAGTAAGATGGAAAACAGTCCTCTTTCCCTTCATTTTTTCTGAGTTTCTATTGAATTGCTGTTGACCAGATCTGTTTCCCCCAAAATTATCAATGTATATGACAGCCCAGGTTTAGAGACCTCGGTTTACAATAATTATTCAGAATTGATTCAGTGACATCAGAGTGTAGAAGAGTATTTTGCGAATGTTTTGGAACAAAAAAGTCAAACTAAACTGGAGAACTGCCTGTTAGTAGTTGGCAGTTCACAATATGTTGTTTTCTGCCATGTTCTGAGTATGGAAGTTTGCACAAAAAAAGCCCTTAATCTTTAGAACACTGAGCAGAGCTTTCCACCGAAATCTCAAAATCTGATTTTTTAACCCAACTCAAAGACCTCTGCAGGCTAAGGTCCTATTTCCTGTGAATGATCTCATTTGACACTGCAAAAAAGGGGCAAAGTAGGATAAAAATTGCACCATTTCGTCACATCAGATAACTATTTTTCTATTTCTCAACAAAAACTCTTCAGTGGAAATAATAGTTATAACTGATTATTAAGTTATTTTCTGCAGTAAAATGTAGCAAACCAGCTAATAACCTTGTTTCCAGTATTTTACCTTAAGTGGGTTATTTAATAGAGCTAAATAATCGTGTAGACCCCCCCTCCTTTCCCCCAATCTGGTTGACAACAGAAGATTCTTTTGTTCGAATGGGATTTGATCAATATCTGTTTTTTGTTGGTTGATTTTGTGCGTCTCCAATTTAAGTAAGTTAAAATTTACTTTTCTTTTTTCTCAGGTACAAAGTCAAATTAACTCCCGGAACAGGAAAACGTGGTAAAGCAGCCAACACTGCGTTAGCTTTGTTTTTGAAAGACAAACTCGGGACCCCAAGAGAAAAAGAATGTCTTAAAAGTGTAAAATCACAAGATCTCGCTAAAAATATTCCTGGAAAAGTCAAAGTTTCTGCACCTAATATTCATAAGCATCGTTGATTTTTTTCTGTTCTGTGATCTATTTAGGTACTATTTTCGTTTTAAGAACTGTTGAAATTAACAAGCTTTTCATTTGTAAATTGTTTTTTACTCATTACTCTCCTTAGTCTAAGACAATTGACTTTTGATCATGGTTATTGTAAAGTTTTATTAAATGATCCACAAAAGCTCAAGCTTAATTTTCTCTTTTTAAAAATTCTGTAGACTAGTAGTATCTTGATGGATGCCAGAGACAGGAATCTAAAGAAGGCTAACTCTCATCAAGTTCTGTCAAAAAATTACCCCTTTCCATCTATTCTAACTATAAAAGCAAGGCGAATTTCTTCTATCTCATATAGAGAAAGGTATTTTGTTAAATTGAAGAAAGTTATATTTTCATTGAGAGTTGGGCATACCAAAAATGAGCTCTAAAAACCGATATTTTGGACGGGCTCTGGTGACATAGCTATGCAGAGGAAACAGAGTTTGCTAAATGCCTGAATTCAGCTCCAGGCATCACCATGCTACATCAACTTGACTGTCGGTTTTTGATTGGTCTTGAAATTTTGGTATTGACTTTTCCTCTCTTTAGAAGTGATTTTTTGAACTTCTTGATAATTTAACAAATTTTATGGAAGAAAAACTAAAGCCCTGGAAAAGTTCCTTGCCACTGCTTTGTTTCCAGGTTCTGTTGAATTCTGTAGAGAACAAATCAAGACATGCGAAATGAAGTTGGACTGAAAAATAAGAAAAAGTCATTAAATTTTCATAATTTTTAATTAATAAAACTTTTAAATAGATAAGAAATCGGGTAAAAATAAATACTCTACATAATTTCATAAAATATCTTAAATTACGGTAAAATTTATAAAATTTGACTTTCAAAAATAACTTCAATAATTTAATATTACAATAGAATGAGAACTTGTAAAAAAATCTTCAAAACAAGAAGAAGAAATATTTGACTGACCAAGTGTAAATTATCTAATTTAATAAACTTTAAATTAGAAAAAAGAAAAACGGCTTTTTATTAAGCCCTCTGGGGAAATGGAAGCTGATCATTTTTAAATATTTTGTATTTATGTTTTCTTCTCTTCTTTAAAACTCAACTCTGCGCAGTCTGCAAACTTTTCCATGACAAAGACGCTATTTAAACTTTGAAGAGAAGAACTTTCCTAGTCATGGTTTTTACAAAATTCAATTTTTAAAATTGTAAGCAAACTGAAGTTTTTTTTTTGGTTTGTTGGGTAGCCAGTGCTTTGGGTTAAAATAAAATGTTAACTCACATTAATTTGAAACTGAAGAATTTATTAGTCGAAGCTTTTCGGCTTTAACTATCGTCAGGACTTAGCAAAAAGCACAGTCTTAGACAAAACATGATTAATTTTGATTAATATCAGTTCATAAAAACGTTTTCCAGTCAGTTTAACCCATTGCACTGGCCACCCAACAAACCAAAAATTACACTAAGTGCTACTACCATAATGTTGTATATCAACACTTTCAATAAACCGAAGTTGTTGGTTGAAGATCAGCAACTGTGGGTACATGTATTAACACTTGCAGACATAGATATAAAGCAATATTTAATTTTTGTGATGTTACATTCCATGGTTTTGTCAACTTAGTTGTGTAGGTACATTTGAAGTTATTGATAACAGACAATCATCCTTACTGAAAGTAAACTACGCAGAATTGAAGTTGCAACGCAAGAGGCTTGGCGAAAAATATATCAGAGGACTCGGAAATTTGCTGACATTGCTTAAAAGGTGAAAAAAAAACAGTCAATACTGAAGGGTACAAGAACAAAGGAAGTTTTGTTGTACTTGAGCATGGGGCTTTAAATGTTAACACCAGAGGCATTTGCTTCATTCATGTTAAAAGGAAACAAGAGCAACAGTGCAAATTGAGTGGGTTAAACAGTATGGTCACTTGGTCACTTATATTTTTTGTTTATCAACAAAATATTTTGTTATCTTACTCTAGAACGCATCGGAGAGGAAAAATAACTATGGAAATAATAACACATTTGTCAGACTTGACAGCACTGAAAAATATTTCAGGCATACATGGATGAATTACATTAAATTCTGTTGAAGATTCAACATTTCATTGATACTAACAAGTAACTTTAAAAAGGGAGAAAGAATTGACAGAAGCTAATTGAGGCACATATTTAGAGACAAGCACACAGGGTTTGAGACATATAAATCATGCGTATTGTACGAAAAAAGTTTTTAAACATTTTAATAATTTTTATATTGGTGACGTGCATTTCCTCAATGCGATATGATTGCGGTATCTACGCCCTGATGATGCGCTTAGGCGCGAAATGATCATTGGCATTAAGGAATAAAGGTAAAACTTTTTCCACCTTTTCCGCATCACTGGCAATATATATAATTTTTCTTCTAATATAAATCATGTTGATTAAAGAAAAGAAACTAATGCATCAACAAAATAAAAAATTTCGAAAACCAATCTTCATACTTAGGGAGGGGAGATGCACTCAACATTCAAATTAGTGAGGTTTGAATTTAATGAGAACTTATTTGATAAGCGCTTGATTAAAATTTAAAATTTTGAAGTGAAGCTTTTGATATTTCCAACAAGATTTTGGCAGTTGAATTATCTGTAGGCATTGAACGTTTTAGCATACCTATTTGACATTAAGTTTGAGCTAACTTAATTAAAACAACCAGGGTTAACACTTTGATCCAAACGGAGAGAAAAAAAAAATATTAATCTCACTCAGTGAAATCTGCACAATCTCAGAGAAAAGACAAAGAACAAAACACAAAATGACTTTTAAAACGAGAATTGAATACATAAATATTTACGTACTAATTGGAGAGAGAGAAGAAATATGCAAGTAACTGATGTTGCTTTACTAGAAAAATACTTATTTTTGCAATGTATGCTCGTAACTCATGGCATAATTTCATGGTTAAAAAGACTTGCGGGGAATAACGAAAGCTGTTTGATTGTACGTCTTTATTAAATGGTTGAGGGCAACTGTTTCATGTCATAGAGACACCAGTTTGCTTGAGGCGGAGTCTGGGCTAGATAAGTCTACACAGCCCATATTGCGTTGTTGTGATGAGCATGATGGGACGAGGGGACCCGACACTGGCGTAAGCCCTGTGCCACCTTCCATTAATGAATCAAAATTTAATGGCATAACAGTTGCTGCAGAAACTGGAATATCCATCATTTCAGCAGGCCTATGGCTGGGCGTAAAGCCGGACGAAACAGGTAAGGAATTAGGACGGACTCTTTGGTTTGAGAATGGTTTCTGCGATGGCTGTTGAGATAACATTGGGTTGGAGATGATCGGATCCAGTTTCGATTTCAATGGTCCATCTACGTCGGAATCTGGGTCTGGTTTAATGTATAAAATGGGTGGCGGTTTCATATCAATGGATTCTGTTGAGGTGGGATTGGCATTTTTCAGCAAGCAAGCAGGCTCGTGTGATTCCAGTAGGCTTTCTAATTCTTCTTTTTCCCGCTGTAGAAGAGTGAGTTCATTCTGAAGCATCTGCTTCTTTTCTTCCAGTCCTTCTGTCTCCTAAAAAGCATAGAAATAATGAATTAAGAGTAAGAAAATAGGATCCAAATGGGCAAATTTAAACATTTTGAACAGAGTTCAGTCGAAAAATGTTGACCAAGATAGGTATATGAACTTCTGCGATCTTAAAATGAGAAAGACACTGCTTGCTATTTCATAAAATACCAATAAATCTAGATTGAATGGGAGATACTGGGGATACTATAATGGGGATACTGTTAGATTGGAGAGGTACATTTGGTTAACCCAAGCTTAGCAAAGGAGACCGTGAGTTTCTCTCTCAGCTTTTCACACAGTGCAGGGGCGTAATTGTATAAATACACTTGATATATATGAAATTGCATCGGTTGCCGGTATTAGGGTCAGATGAGCGTGTTCAAAAAGTCTGTCATCCTTCCTCTTAAAATTTGCTGTGCCTCTATCCTTCAAAAATTGTAAGCCCTCACATCTCAACCCCCCCGTATTAAAAAAGTTCAGAAATGCCAATGGTTTTTTGCAATCCAAACTTCCAACCTCACAATGTAATGGGTATCTGTAAAATGGACTCTAACTTGCTCTTATGAATGTCTTTTCCAGACTGAACATATTCAATCTCCAGATACTGCCAGACTTTTCCTTAAGTTTCGAGTTTCCCAAAAATTTTGAGAAGGCATGTCAGGGATTTAAGTCTTGGAGGCATCCACCATGAGGAAAATTGGACCCGTTTTGCTTGGGTTCCTTTAGAATTTATCTTAATTTTGATACTAAAGTATCATCTAATTTTCAGAACCTATTAAAAGAGGTTATGATTTTGCCTCTTGTTGGCCGTGATAGTTGTAATTGGGCCGGACATTTTATGCACCTTAGGTTAACAATGTTTACCATGATTCATGGATAAAAAAAGTTCAAGTTAATGTGAGTACACACCTCTAAAAGCTCATTGGTATGATCCAATCTTCTTTTCCGACAACGGGCAGCAGCCAATTTATTGCGTTCACGCCTAACTTGCCTTCGTTCTTCTTCTTCAGGGGAAATCTATTGACAAGTAGGAAAATAAATAAATTAAAAAGAACCATTTAAAGAGAGTCATTTTATGTAGACTAAGCTGAAAGTAGGTGTACTGACAGAGGAAAATTCCTAACTGCAGCTCTACCATTGAGAACTGGTAATAAACTTCGATTTTTGCAAAAATCTTAAAGATAGAAGAGTTGAAAAATTGATTGAAAGTAGTGTCCGTGATAGGAAAACAGAAGAATAGAATTTGGCTCATGACACTTTCTGAGTTTCTCACAGAAGATTTGCATGGTTGTGATGGCAACAGTGTGATAAAAAATGGTATTGAGTTCAACTAAGTAAGTAATAATTTGGATTTGTTTTTTCTGAATAAAGTATATCTATCTATCCCTCGAATTAAACTTTAAGAACTGATGCAAATGTATTGGTACATTTTGAGGACTCAGGCTTGCCAGGGCTAATCAACCCTTATAACAAGAGATCAAATCAGTAACTTTACGCCACTTCTCACTTGCCAGCACTTGTTTCTTAGTATTGACAATGACATTATCTTCTGCCCTTTTCTTTGAAAAAGAAAAAAAAATCTCTAGAATTTCTACCAAATTATCTACTTTTATTTTGCCTGGAAATTTGGTTAAACACAGTGTAAACTTGGAACTCTCTTTTTTGAATGCAAGGTATTAACTCCAATTGACAACCTACAGGGGCTATCTTAAGAGCTACATTGCTGCACTTTTTATGAAATATCCCTTTCATAGCCTTCAAGGGAAGAGGGCCAAGTTTGATCCCTCAGAAATGAATTTTACGAAAAACAGGATGTAGTGCGTTGAAAATTGATTAAAGAAGCAACATAAATTTAAGTCTATACAATTACAGAAGATCCCTGGGTACTTAAGTACGCTAGTTGGAAGGGAATGGGGCTCGGATTTGTATCTTTTGTTTTTTTGATTCTTCATTGAGGATACGGACGTTAACAAAAATTGAGGAGAACCTTACCGATTTATCCTTGATTGGTCTTCTGCCTCCCATACTTTTACGAGTAGGGTTTGGGTTTGGGTTTTGGTTTTGCAGGTTTTGAATGGGAGGACTCTTAACCGTAGGAATCGGGGTCAAAGGCACAGAATTCACGGTTGAACCTTGCCAACTTTTGGTGTCAACAAAACTCAAGAGTATGTTTCCATCTGAAACAAAATATGATATTTTCTTTAATAAAATGCACTGGTAGATAAATGATATTGGAAAAAAACTATTCAAAGGTACAAAAAAAAATTTTAACATGGACGATTTACTGTCAACTCCTGGCTTGGTCGATTTACGCAAAATTACTTCCACAGAGTAATTTAAGACAAAAATATACATTCCTGAAATTCCCTAACCCACTTTGCTTAAAATTCTAACAGTTAACAGTTGACACTCTGGAGTCCCCAGGCTCATCTTGAAAATGAATATCGACGGCGCAAGTTTGCAATCACATGTCTCGTTTGCGGTGTCTGAAAATCTTCGCCCATAAGTTATTTTTTTAAAGGAGAACAAATTGACATCATTCTTGGAATTTTATGCAGAATTTTCTCCGCACAGAGAAGAAGAATCACAGCAGTCTTAGAGGGTTGCTGTTGAGCGGTTTCCCCTTTAAAAAATGAAGTAAGTATGACAGGAAGTCTGCGACGTCGCAAACCGAGTTATATGATTGCCCACTTACACCATCAATATGCGACTTCAACTTAAAAAATACATTACAGTAAGTAAAATCGATTGAATCAAATATACTTAGGTGAAGTCTGGAATGCAGTTGTAGAGTTTTAAAAGGTAAACACTAGTACAAGCAAGGGGAAAGGGAAAAAAATTCTTACTTTGGGACATGGATGGATCTAGTGGAGGAGGAACAAATCTTGCTTCATTTTGGTGGGGTCTAACTTCACCCTCGAGATCTAGGAGAGTTTGTTCAAACTTTCGCAAAGTTGTGGGCGTCAATGTGGGGGTTGTTCTAGTTGGAACTCCACTGTGAAGAATATTCATCTGAAACAAAAGAAATAAACATTTGGTTAAATACTTACTAAATACCCACTTTCAAGCTTGTGAATGCGAATAAAAACAGAATTAGGAGGGAGGGCAGTATTGATACTTGGAAGCAGCTTTGTCCTTAAGCAATGTGTACCTCTCCTTAAATCTCTCATGTCAAAACTTCGTTGGTTAGTGAGGTCATTTAATAATCTTGCTGACTTGATACTGCTGACCAATACTGTATGATTGGAGCTTAGTAGATGATAAAAAGAGTCAAAGAGAGTGCATGCTGAACATCTGAGCTGATGAGTCTCTTAACTACAGATAAATTAGAGTAACAAATCATTAAATCATCAGTCGCATTAATTAGAGTATACAGACAAAGTCAGTTTTTAAAAGCATTAAGTATACTTAAGAGGACCAAAACATTCTAAGAAACGACTTCGACGCCCTGTGTAGAGCCATCAGTCTCAAAGACACATGGCGTGAAATTTTACCTGTGCTTGCATCATAAATAGATAAACATGGGCGGATAAGCTACAAATTTTTAATCTTTTTAAAAGTCTGAAATGGTAGTAATAGAGGTTAATTTTTGGAAAATTGAGCTTTGAGGGTGCACGTCCCTACATTTGAGGTTAAAGCACAGTGCGTAGGTGATGATTTTCATGGGCCAGCTACAGAACTGAAGTCAACACCAAAGATAAGTGATTCTCAAAACTTGTTGATGAAGGGGACGAACTAAAGATAACTGAGAAACGAAGTAAAAGTCATCGTTTGACACAAGAGGACGTTTTCCTACGTAGACAACTTTCTGCGTGATATCGAAAAGCTCCGAGACAAAAAAAGATAACTTACGGCTGCGGAGACTGGCGATTCAATACCAAGGGACATAACACCACAAAACTGTTAGAATAATACTAAAAACGCAATTTGAGCTAGAACTGAAACATCAGAAAATGTAGGGCGACGAAAAATACAAACGGACGACTTTGAAAGCGCGGACACCTTAAGCTAACTGAGCGTAACAACAATGAAGTGAGAACAGAGAACAAGAATTGCACAAGGATACAGAGCACGTCATTAGCCAGTTACTTGGAAAAGACAGATGACTCATCACCGGGGAAGCCCTAGCCCTTTCCGTCTCTCCTCGCCCCTCCTCCCTCCGCGCCGCCATCCAGCCAGCGCCAGTGAGTAGCGCCACAAAACGCAGAGCTGATAACGCCAGACTCGTCTGACAACACGGGAATATTTTCAATGCATACGCATACCGTATACTCTCCGTTTGCTAGGTTGCCGTTTAGCGGAATGCCGCTCGTCCATGATTATTTATTTATTTTTTCTCCATCGATATCGGCAGTGTTTTATTACTTACTTGATGAGTTGGGAGAAATTTAGGAATTATTTTTCCACTATTCAGTCGCAGGACAAGACACAGTGGGCAGCGCTCAGTAGAAAGGAGCCCAAATCCATTTGCGGTGCGCTCAAAATATGTCTTCTCTCCTCAGAAAGAACGTAGCTACATTCCAATGTTTTCAAATTTCCCCGCGCCCTCTGCACTTTTCCCAGGAGAATTTTATGAATTTATTTATTTATTTATTTATTTATTAGGTATACAAAACGGGCAAGTTGCCCAATTACAAAGTAATTAACAAAAAAGAGCAAAACAGCTGAACAAATGATAAACTCAACTGACAAATAAAACAAACAAACAAAAGTACAATACAAAGAATATAACTAATAGGGAACATAGTATCCCAAGGGGGTACAGTAGGGGGAATTTCTACCTATCTAAACATTTTATTGACTTTTCCACTGACCTCAAGCTATTTAGACAAATTTTAAACAAGAATTGCCCAGGTAAGTAGGTATATGCTCTTCATAAGTTGGACGGTTTGAATCAATTTTGCAATCTTGGAATAGAGTTATGTCATTTCGCACGGGTAGAATCCCTTTATACCCAGAGTTAAGACAACTCGATTATCAGCTGACTGGCAGCCGGCCTTGGCTGGCCATGGAGGCCGAAACGAGTGCACCCAAACGAACGATATTGAGGGATAAGGATCAGGAATCCTGCGATGTCTGTCAAACAAAAACAACAACATCAACAAATTGATCAATTAAAAAGAAAATGAGATTGGTTTGTGAATAATTTCTTAATCTATTTTCATTTTGGACCGATGGAAATAACAATTTACTCTTGATAAACCACAATTAGGTAATATTTTCATTATTCTTGTTCACATTCGAGGTACCGCCATCTTGGTGCACTCGTTTCGGCCTCCATGAGCGAGAACCAATCAGAATTGGATTTTTTTTTAGGCCACTTTCAGCCCAACCAAAAGTGAGTTGTCTTAACTCTGGGTATAAAGGGACTCTACGCACGGGAAACGACGTATGTTGCAACTTCTTCGAAAGGAAACTGAATGCATGCAAGCAGAAAAACGAAACTTACAGGATTTGTTTTACTTAAGACTTTGTCTCTGCTTAAGACTAACCTTTTTTGGTGGGAAAATAAAAACTGTGCTTAGGTAATATGGGGTGCATGACCGGATTTACCTACTTGCCGCCCATGGACCGCCTGTATTTTGCCGCCCTCTTCTCATTCATTTTGAAACATCAATAAAAACCATCGAGTGAACGTGCCGGAGGGAGAAGGGTGCATAAGACGCGTTCACTCGTGTCGGACACATTTTTTGCGTAAGCTCTGTCAACACTACTGGCAAAGCGAAAGTTCAGTTCCCGCTCCGTAAACATATCTCTGTGGGGACAAGACCTTTCATTTGTAAGAAATGAACTAAAAAATTAAGAAAGAACAAACACAAATGTGGTTCAATAATTTTAACTTCCGCCGCCGTGCTGCGCTGACCACACTGTGTTCGGCGCAATGCGTAAAGTATTCATGCAGTCTTGTAGGCACTGTGCGTTTCACGCCGCGCCGACCGCTGTTGACCGTACTGTGTTTGACGCAATGCGTGAAGTATTCATGCAGTCTCGTAGGCGCGAGTGTTACATGCCGACCGCCGCGTCGAGGGCTTCTCCTTTTCATCTCAAGTCCTCGTCATCATTTCTCTTTGCGCCGCTCCAGGCCATATTACGTGTTTGGTTTTTCTCTTAACTTAACTTATTAAAGGTGCGCAGTCTTTTGTATCACCGAAATACGACAAAATTAGAAATTAATGAACTCTCAGGAAATGAGAGATTTTGTCACCTTTTCTAGTTCGTAATTTTTTTCTGAATCCGATTTTTTTGTACCTGCATTTAAAAAAAATTGCAAAATTTGCCGCCTCAGTTTTAGTTTGCCTCCTAATTTTGCCGCCATGGGCCGCGGCCCATGCCATGTGGCCACCCCCTTAATCCGGCCCTGCAACTGCGCTTAAGTGCGTGGCCCCTATGCGCTCACGAAGTCGCTCCTTTGACGTAAGGGTACATCTCCATTTCCACGCGAGTTCTGGTCTGACTGAGGACTTGAGATGAAAGGCTTCGCCTTTTCATCTCAAGTCCTCGTCATCATTTCTCTTTGCTCCAGGCCAAATTACGTGTTTGGTTTCTCTCCACCAACTAATCACAACACCCTTTGGTCAACACTCTTTGGTCACTCAACTAATTAAAGGTGCGCAGTCTTTTACGACAAAAATAGAAATTAATGAACTCTCAGGAAATTAGAGATTTTGTCACATTTTCTTGTTTGTAATTTTTTTCTGAATCCGATTTTTTTGTACCTACATTTAAAAAAATTGCAAAATTTACCGCCCCCTAATTTCGCCGCCATGGGCCGCGGCCCATGTGGCCACCCCCTTAATCCGGCCCTGATGGGGTGTTAATTAGAAAAGAGAAGTTGCAGGAGCATTGCATGTTTACGCCTCGCGCTGTCGCGCCTTCAATTCTGCAGACGCAACACGGACATCCATCAAGCACGAATAGTTGTATCTCTACGCCTTCATCATCGCGCATCCTTTCCTTGCTCTAATTCCATGTTGCTGGTTCCGTGAGTCCTGTTATTTTGTAGTGGTGCTTCTAGGGCTACGTGAGCAGCACTCAACACAGCCGAAGATAGGAGAGACGTAATCGGGCCTTGTTTTTTACTTTACTCCCGAATCTGAGCGACACCTCATTGACAGCATAGAGCGGAGCTTTGTGAATTCACGTCCCGCGCCATCGCGCCTGCAATTTTGCAGACGCAATACGGACATCCATCAAGCACGAATAGTTGTAGGTGTCTTTGCACTGTCATCAACGCGCGTTGAGGCTTCTCTAATTTTTTAAATTTGAGAAAAGTTATGGTCACGTTTGCAAAATGCTGTGGTTTGTCCAACATTCGGAGGGAAAATGTTTAGAGGTCTATTGAGCGCCCTAAAGGGCGCACGTCTAAAAATTGGTATATTGGCGAGAATTGCGTTGTGTCAGGGAATTTTTTTTTTAACGATACCCCTAGAAATCCCAAGCCGGGTCAAATTGACCCGACTATCTCTTCTAGAGGAGTTGCATAGGTATGGCGGATAAGGTGGATCAAATTAAAAAAAAAAAAAGTATTTCTTACCCTCAAACACATAGAAATAACATGGAGATAATAAATCAAAGAGTATCAAAATCAATGTATTTAAATACGGATCAATTTGACTCACATAGAGTGCAATAGAGTCGCAATGCACTGGAGCGCCAATGGAGTAAATACATGAACGGACCATTCTGAGCCCCTCGTTCGCCGGAATTGAGAACCAAGTGTGAACCGAACGGCATTTTTTAGCACCGCGCGGCGGCGGCGCATCGGAGAATCGAGGACTCGGAGTGGTTTTCGGGATTCATTAATTTAAATCAATAATTATTTTCGCGAATTTTGGTAAATTATAATGACCAACGTCATAACAAATTAAAAAAGGTACGTAACTCCCGGTTTTTATGAACTAAATGTTATACCTGTATTTTCAGAGCAAAGTCCGGAGCTGGGATTGGGATCCCGCGCACACGGCATCGCCAGTCGCCGCACACTAGTCTCAGGAGCAGTGGACAAAACAGCCTCAAAAAGTGACTTCAGCAGCGCTCCAAATTCCGTGCAATTCTTGGAAATTCCAGGAAATATTTTCCTCTGAAAATACCGTCCTTAAGCGTCAAAATTAATTTTCACAAAAAGAAGCAGGGGGGGGGGGGGTCTAAACAGAGGACAACTCATGGAAGTAGGTTGAGGGGAATTCTACATATCATGCTCAGATACCTAATTTTTTGCGATTTCGAGGGGCGGGTACATCGTAATACAATTAAAATTTTGCGGAAAATTTACAATGTGACGATAAAAATCAGTAATGGTTTACTCCATCGGCACAATTGGCCACGCTGGACGTAAGTGCAGGTGTAAGAGAAAAACAATCAAAGCTTCAGTTAGTGTCGCATATGACCGATACTTATCGAATTTCATTTTAACGGCTGGATGCATTCGGGCTCCATGGATGTCCGTGTTGCAATTGTTGCATACGCGCCAACGCGAAGGCGCCTTGACTCCAGACAGAGCCAGACACCAATCGTCTCACCAGCAGCGCTCAGTGCAGCGGGTCCATGAGAGGAGTCTGACATAACGTTGCTCCTCTGGTGTGATGGCAGCAGGCCCGTCACATCCCATCTCGGGCCCTGGTACCAGTTTTAAGGTCCGGGCCCCAAACACGGAGGGGGGGGTCATCCCCCGAGAAATTTTAGAATTACAACGACTAATCGGATGCATTTTGAAGCTTCCATAGAGAATTTTTCCATCAATTTCTGCGGAATAAATATATTTTTTTTCTACTTTCAGCACAAAATACTTGCGAATTGTTGCATTCAAAACATCTGGAATTTTTTTTTTTTTTTTTGGGGGGGGGGGAGGGCATATGATACTATTTTTTGGTTCTATGAGGGCCAGGCCCTCCTGGACTCCCCCTTCGTTTGTCTAGAGCAAGGGAGTTGAGCCATGAGCCATTGAAGTCGAGGATGCCCAGACTGGAGACTCTTAGCATCTGACGACGGAAGAAAATGAAACGCAGTTAGGGTCAGTGGACCCCCTATGGACACGGGACCCCCTATGAACCCTTAGTAGTTTCAGGTTAAAAAACAAGGTGACAACGTAACCAATCATGAAATGAAAATTTTCTCATCATTCAGCTGCACTGAAAAAAATGGTATGCTGTTTTAGCACCTACGATGTCAAAAATGTGTCTGGTGA